TAGATCTGTAACGAGTAACGACCCTATAAGGTCGTCCCCGCCATTGTAGCTTTTCATTCTAATTTAGTGACTCTTCTACCTCTGTCTCTCCCTCACGCTCTTGCATCCTCGCAACGCCCACCCAGCCATCTTAGAGGTGAAATCCTTCTTCCTCTTCTTTTCTGTATGTTTTTCCTGCTTCATTGCATATGCCCGTCGCATGCTCATAGATCTTAGCTGTGGAAATTTGAACGGAAATGATCGAAGCGGTTCTCTTTTGCGTCAAAACCATCACTTTTTGTAAATTATGTTTGTTTACAGTTCCGGGTTGCTGATCTCCTTTCTGTATTCCGTGATCCATGTTGTGTTTCTTGTATTTTGCTAGACGTCCATGCATAGTGTTCGATCCGGAACCTTTTCTGGCATTCCTTGGTTGACATTGAATTCGAAAGCAATGAAGTTTAGATCTGGCCGGGACTTGTGCATGATTGCAATGTCTTTAGACTCTTAGGACGACTCTTCACTCGTTATTTCTTTGGGGAGCGGATGAAGCTTTTGTATGCTTGTGAAGGAAGCTCGGATCCTTAGCTCCTGTTTTCTCTCTAAACAGATTTTAACTTCTTTTATGTTACCATGAATCTGTTACAATACCCTCAATGGAGCAATTTTGGCAGAAACTGTCATGAAATATCTGCAATTTTCATTTCAATCATCTGGAATTGTTGGTTTTTAGAAAAATTAGGGAGACATCCTTCCTCATTTATTCTAGATAATGAATTCTTAGATGAGATATAAAATTTTCATCAGGAACATTTAAAACTCTATTAGCACTAAGCTTAGTGCCTAACCCGAATTTCTTTTAGGACTACAAAGATTAATTAATGATCCCTCACCCTAAAATAAGTTTTCTTTGCAGTAATATTGATTTATATCCTTAGTATTACAAACATGGCTCCTTTTTGTATTTGGGGCGACGGTATTAGATGCTTTGGTGACCATCATGACCTTTCTGGCCAAATATTCTATTAAAGCAAGCTAGCCTTTTCCTAAACTCCGCCTATCTTCCTTGATTAACAAAGCTTATAAAGTGTTTCTTAGTTTTATAGACTTGCAGCGTTGTATGGACTATGATTCTGTTAATCAAGGAGGATAGGCGGAGTTTAGGAAAAGGCTAGCTTGCTTCAATAGAACATTTGGCCAGAAAGGTCATAATGGTCACCGTAATCTGTTTAGTAGCCGTAATCTGTGTATTCTTATTATCAAAATAATAGGCAGGATAGACAAAAGGCTAAGAGCCCGTGTGATAAGGATTGTTCAACTGAAATGATTAAATGTCCTGAATTTTGTGAAAATAAAAATATTTTAGAAATTTCAAATCATCGAAATGAATTCAGAAATTTTAAAGCTACTTATTCTGATTATCCAGCTAATCAGCCGAATAAGTCGATTAATTTCCAACAATGAGGGCTTGAGTACCTTTTGACTCGCATGATGAAGCACAAGTTGTCAAACGTATTTGTTATTCAGAGAATTTCACATACTGTGTCAATAACCCTTATCGAACAGGCCCTATAATTTTTAACCAGATCAAGTAACTTAGCTTCTCAAGATATAAAGCTTGCACCATTTTTTTTAAACATCATGTATCATTCACCTTGATTACAAAGCTTATTAACGTTCCATAGTTGTGTATAGACTTGCAACATCATTGGATTATATTAAAGAAAATTAATTAAATTTGCAGAGAATCAAAATGGTGAAGATATGCTGCATTGGTGCTGGTTATGTAGGGGGGCCCACCATGGCCGTGATAGCATACAAGTGCCCTGACATTGAAGTAGCAGTTGTTGACATTTCAATGCAGCGGATCAGTGCATGGAACAGTGATCAGCTCCCCATATATGAGCCGGGCCTTGATGATGTAGTCAAAGGGTGCAGAGGAAGGAACCTCTTCTTCAGCACAGAGGTAGAGAAGCACGTGTGTGAGGCCGATATCGTCTTTGTCTCTGTCAACACTCCTACCAAGACGCGTGGTCTCGGGGCTGGCAAAGCTGCAGATTTGACGTATTGGGAAAGTGCGGCTCGCATGATCGCTGACGTCTCAAAGTCTGATAAAATAGTTGTTGAGAAATCGACAGTACCAGTTAAAACAGCCGAGGCCATTGAAAAAATCTTGACTCATAATAGCAAGGGGATTAAGTTCCAGATCCTCTCCAATCCCGAGTTTCTTGCTGAAGGTACTACTTTTATGGATATAGCTGAGTTTTAACTTCCAACTTCATGATTTATAAAGTCCAGATATTTAAATTACAGAACTGCAAACCAACCAAGTAACTTTAATCAGTTTGGCTCTAAAGTCATTTTTCTGCCGGTTTTGGTTGGTGTTAGTTGGGTTCGGTTATTTTTTCATTTTTAAGACATTACAAGCACAATGTCTATATTGAGTAATAGTGGGCCTAACCCCATTAGGAATTATTAATAGGAAGCCTAAACCATTTAGGAACGCTTATATAGAGGAATCATGTGCCTAATCCGCCACTGGAAATCATATACTCACTCCGTCCTAAAATGTGACACATTTGGATCCATCACAGCTTTTAAGAAAATAAAGGAGATAGAGTGGTGGACTGGGAGTCCTCCCCAAAAGTAGACGGTAAGATGATAGACAAAAGGATATAGCAGGAATGTATTAAGTTTAGTGGAACTCAAAGTATGAATGCATTCATTTTTTGGGTCAGAAAAGAAGAACGTTATCCTACAAAATATGACAGGGAGAGTAAAATATACTCTACTGAAACGATCACCAGTATATTTCTATAATTCTTACACTTTATACTTTCACAGGTACTGCTATTGAGGACCTATTCCATCCTGACAGGGTACTCATTGGAGGTCGGGAGACCCCAGAAGGGAATAAGGCAGTCCAGACACTCAAGGATGTCTACGCCAACTGGGTTCCAGAAGAACGCATCATCACAACCAATTTATGGTCTGCTGAGCTGTCAAAGCTAGCAGCCAATGCATTCTTGGCGCAAAGAATATCCTCAGTAAACGCAATGTCAGCTCTGTGTGAGGCGACCGGTGCGGATGTTTCCCAGGTGTCATACGCTGTCGGTAAGGACACGAGGATCGGTCCCAAGTTCCTCAACTCCAGCGTCGGGTTTGGCGGCTCTTGCTTCCAGAAGGACATCCTCAACCTTGTCTACATCTGCGAGTGCAATGGTCTGCCCGAAGTGGCCGAGTACTGGAAACAGGTCATCAAGATCAATGACTACCAGAAGAGCCGTTTCGTGAACCGAGTTGTCTCGTCCATGTTTAACACTGTCTCGAACAAGAAGATTGCCATCTTAGGTTTTGCTTTCAAGAAGGACACTGGGGACACACGTGAGACGCCTGCAATTGATGTCTGCAAAGGGCTTTTGGGAGATAAGGCCCAGTTAAGCATATATGATCCTCAGGTGAGTGAGGAACAGATCCAGAGAGACCTGACGCTGAACAGGTTTGAGTGGGACCACCCGCTGCATCTCCAGCCAGCTAGTCCGGGTGCAGGGAAGAAGGTCAGCGTTGTTTGGGATGCTTATGAGGCGATGAAAGGGGCCCATGCTGTGTGCATTCTCACGGAGTGGGATGAGTTCAAGGATCTGGACTACCAGAGGATATATGAGAACATGCAGAAGCCTGCTTTTGTGTTTGATGGTAGGAACATTGTGAACGCCGGAAAGCTGAGAGAGATTGGGTTTATTGTGTACTCAATCGGTAAGCCTCTTGATGCTTGGATCAAGGACTTGCCTGCTGTTGCTTAGATACACACATTGCTGCTGCACTTTTTCTGTTTTGTTTTCCTACATTTCATTTGCTTCAAATCTCATTGTTTATTTTTTACTTCATCTTTTGGCTTCTGTCTAGTTGGCTTTTCACGGGCCCATTTTTTAGTTCGATTTTTGAAAAAGGCCATAAGTTTTACACCTGTAATTGTTATTCTATTACTGACGTATTCATAGAACTATCTGATGTAAATTCAGCCATGTCTGAATGAAGACAAGAGTAATAAAAAACTGTTTGTTGGCACGTCGCACAGGTTAGTGTAGCTTCATCATCATCATATTATTATTATATTTATTATTATTATTATTGTTATTGTTATTATTGTTGTTGAAGTTGCAACTATAAATCAAACAAGTTGTAATATAATCATTCAAATCTTAACCTCAAAAGAGTTCATCGACTAACTCACTAACATGAATGAAACGGCATATGAAATCATAGATTCATAGCAAAACTAAATTGTAATGACTAATGAAAACTTTTTTATTAAATTGCTTAATGGAAATGAGACTAGTTTAAACTTTAAACGAGTAAACTCCTCTTTTCTTAAATTATTTGCTTCTTTATTTTTTTGTCTGTTCTTATTTACTAATTTTCCTGAAACAGTCTTTGTGTTTTAGTACAAGGATAAAACTGCGTACATCCGACTCCCCCCCCCTACGGTACCGTAGGTGGGGAGCCTTTGCGCAGTGGGGTATGGGTGGACTCGGGCCGGGCCTAGGCCCGGTCGGGCCTCCAGTTCAGGAATGGGGGGCCCGGAACCGACCCGGGTAATCCCCGGTTCCGGGCCGGGCCAGGCCTCGGCCCTCGGGCCTTAGTTAATTTTTTTTCTCTTTTCCTAGTTAACCCCCAACCTTCCCCCTCACCCCCAAACCACCCCAAATGGCCCAAAATACCCAGCCCAACCCAAAAAGTAAAAAAAAATGGAAAAAAAAAATTAGAAAGGCCCGGACTGGCCGGGCCAGTTCGTGATTTGGGGGGCCCGAGCCCGGACCGGTCACTGACCGGGCCACCGGGCCAGGTCGGGCCACCCGGCCCGAGTCCACCCCTACACTGGGGTAAATGAAAATGAATGCTCTTATTTACTAATTCATCTCTCTATTTACCATTGAGGTAAGAATACTAGCACTAATATTGTTTCTTTCATTTGTAGAAAAATCTCAAATAAATTTATAAGCGACATAGGAAGTACATTTATCAGTAATTTATATAGTTCAACTACTTCAACAGTTTATTTCAAAAAAAAAAAACTACTTCAACAGTTCAACAAGATACAAGTATATAACCATTACCTTAAAAAACAAGATGAAACCATGGTTTTAGCAAAAACAACCAGGCTCACCAGTTGCCATTTGGTGAAAAGTCGGGCTTAAAAGGCTAATAAGCAGAAAAGAAAACAACCCAACGGGCAAGACACAAGTGATGAATGTATATCGAAAATTGATAATTAATGATTAAACTAGGACAAAGTGCCCTTAATCAAGGATTACAACAAAGTACATTTAGTAAAAAGAGCAAGATGATTTATTAGATGATGATAGTACAGTATCTTGCTCCTCCTACATATACATAAAACTAGTTACATAATGGGAGGCTTTAACAGGAGATAGCTGACACAATATGCCGCTCGCTCGGAAAATTGTTTCCCCTCTAAGGAAATACAACTGGCTGGATGTTCCATATGTCCTTGGCGTATTCATGAATCGTTCGATCACTGCTAAATTTGTAACTCCCAGCTGTATTCATGATTGACATTCTAGTCCATCTCTGCAACAAGTTCGTCATTTCAATACAAAAGTCAATTATAAAAATTCTAAAGGTCAAAATACCTTCAAGTATTCAACTCACGCAACGGCACTCAAAATGAGAAGAAACATTAAAAAAAACATCTTGAAATGTGATTCCATTATGAAAATTCCACTGATCGGAGTAGTCAAAAGCATTATTAGATCATTTGTATTTTACATGGAGGTGGAACAAATATACCCTTGAAAATCACTGACCTTTTGATCGCGATATGCCTCATCAACCTTCTCTTGGCATTCTATGTAGCTGGGGAAGTCCTTTCCTACAAGGAAATAGTCTGCACGGCCGAAGCCTTCGTTTCCCTCCAACGATCCAATAAGCTCATCATAGTTATTTGCGCCAAAAGCGCCACTCCTTATGAATTCCTTAACTTCTTCAAATCGCTCATCGGGTACAAACTGCATTACAGGGTAAGCACATTAGTTTTGGTAGCATGCACTCCAGGTGTAAAGTACTTAACAAAAGTAGAGAATACTTCTGTATGTATCTTAGAAATTAATCTTACATGTGTACTTCATATTTAATAATAATAACAATAGTAATGGTAATAATTATAATATTAATATAATAGTGGTAGTAATAATAATTATAATAATAAGATAATCAATATAAATGAGGGCAGTTTCACAAATTGAACAAAACAAAACATGAGTGGGATACCGGTGTTATGAAAACTACTCCGTATTAAACTAACACCCCCTCTCTCTGTGTGCCACCCCCTCCTTAAATAATACAGCATATTTGAAATTTTATTATTTCATACAAGAATTTGCTCTGTTCGTCTTAATACTCTGTATTACATATTGCTTTGCTTATTTTATTCAGATAAGAAAATTTTAGATTTGACCGGATCGAGAAGATTCACATCGCATGAGAAAAGTTCAGGTCAATTTAGATGAGAAAAGTTTAAACATGATTAATGTTATTATTATTGTTGTTGTTGTTTATTAATCATCTATTATTACTACTATCATTACTATTATTCGACGCTATTATTATACTCCCTCCGATCCTAAATAAAGTTCCCACTTTCCGTTTTGACTTTTGGGCAGGTCCAAAATAAAGTTCTCACTTCTATTTTTGGCAAGTTTTTAATATAATGTTACCCTTATACTCTTACTTTATTTAGCTACTTCACAGTTCACACCCATTTCCTCTCTCCCACTACACCTAATCTACTTTTTGTAAGGGTATAATGGGAAAGCAAAGGCAAAAATTCAACTTTCTTAAAAGCCGAAATGTCAAACTAGGAACCTTATTTAGGACCGGTGGGACTAAGATACAACCGTAGGTTGCTGCTATAATTATTAATAATAATATTACTTCATATTACTATTACACCATATTATTATTATTAAGATTAGTATTTGTATGTTGTTATTAGTATAAAACCGTAGGTTTAGGCTGTTTATTTTATTAGTATTATCATAATAACTATAATCATTATTAGTATTACTAGTATCCTTATTAATACTATAGTTGGTTGCTATCGTTATCTTATTATACAAACAATAATAATAAAAATAAAAATAATAATAATAATAGTAATAATGGTAATAATATGTATTGATGTTAAACTTAGATCAGAACGTATTAGAATCGGATCAGAAACATTCAAGTATGAAAGATTCATATTAGATCTAAACAAATCTTAGAAAATTCAGATAAAAAACATTGAGATTCAGATTAGACAAAGAGAACAACTTCAAAGAGTCTTATTCTGTACACTTAAAACAACAATATGATCTCATTTTCATTATATTTAATGTATTTTTCCAAATTAATAGTCTCTCAAATAGGTTGGTGTGTTTAACTTGGTCAACTCAACTTGTAAATTTCAAAGCATATCTAGAAATATGATTTCCAATAGTTCCACACTTGCAGCTCGCTAGAATAAATTATACATTCGTGAATTATGACTCTTTTTGCAATGGGGGGGGTGTGGAAGGTTTTACCTTTCCCTCAGCTCTTTCTTTCCGAAGCCCTGCAATTTCATGAGCTTCAGCCCCAAAGAGAAAGAAGTTCTCCTCACCAACCTCTTGCCTTATCTCAACGTTTGCCCCATCCAAAGTCCCAATTATGATACAACCGTTCATGGAAAACTTCATGTTGCTGGTTCCACTGGCCTCCATACCAGCAGTACTGCATATATATGGCAAGACAGGATATAGTTAAGATATATCTCTACCTACAGCTGACACCCATAAAATAAATCATATTTATGTGCATAGTATCCCATAGTTCACAAGTTGCTCAAGCTTTTCAGTTTTTGTTATACCTACATACACAATGAAATTGTGGAGAAAAGTGAACTAGCACTAGACTCACCCTTCGGTGGATCAAGTGACTAGTAGCTATTGCTGCAGAAGCAGTAAGTCAGTAACAATGCTATTGGAGTCTTCGTCTTCACAGGATTACTGAACCAAAATGTTCTCTCTAGATCTTCCGTTTCTATGATACATCCCCTTTTAGCCTTGAACTGAAAAAATCATTACTGTACTTGTTTTCATTTATGAATTAGGTTTGTGCTTTCTAAAAAAAAGTTTTAGCGACAAATCTAAAGGATAGCTTTGGAAAACTTTTATCATAAACCCATCCTTAACCCTTTCCCTAATCCCTACCCATGTCATTGTCTATCCAATATTGAATCAAAATCGAGAAAGATCAGTGTTAGTGCGCGGATCTTGTTGGTTTGTGACTTTAATTGTCCTCTCTCTCCTACCTTTCACAAACTCTAATTGTTGCTGATAACTACCATGAAAAATAATAAATAATACGAGTATAAAATACTGGGGCTAATGGAAAAGCAGCCAAGCTGGAAGACCTGATATGTTGTGAAAGCTCACTAGCAGGAATCAGCATTTCAGCAACAGTGACATTGTAATCAGGGACAAAAATAACCTATAAAGAATAATACAATAAATTTTAAGTTCTGAAAATCACTGAGGTGTCAGGTTAAGCTGCTGAGAAACATGTCTGGAGTACTATAGATACAAGTCATATAACCAAAATGACAAATCAAAATATATTCATCACCAATTCATACCTTCAGTAGATCACCTATTTCAGGATCGTGATTTATGGTGGCTCCAACATCTGTTATGAATTTCACAATCCTTTTAGCTTGCACATATGTGGCAAAAGCTTTTCCTCCAAATATGCACACCCGAGGAACAAACTTTGCTTCTCTTTCTGCAGCACTCATTTCTTTCATCTGCTTGTATCGGTAAACAATTCCCAAGATATTCAAGAGTTGCCTCTTGTATTCATGAATGCGTTTTACCTGAAGTGTTTTACTGTTAGTTCAAATGTAGTAATGAACGGCATCTCAGTTAACAATTTCGAATCAACCAAATTTTGTGGACGCCTTTCTAGGACGCATGTATCAGCGGCGTCGTAAAAATAATTCAGACGTAAATGAAGGGGAGGAAAAACTAAACATAACATGTGTTAGCCAGCAGAGTGGCTGAGAAGCTGCCTGGCAAGTCTGGCAGCTGGCAGTCAATCAATTATGACAGCTGGGTTATTTTCAGATTATTTGATTTTATAGATTTGTTGTCTTCAATATCTTTTTTTGTCTCTGAATTATTTCAGGACACTTTTTGTGTGGTTTCCTTTCATTTCAGAACTCTAATGTAGCCTGTATAAGGGCCTTTGTCTTCAAATAAAGACATCTTAGAAAGAATTAGTTTGAGCGTGTCTTGACTCTTGACAAGGTCGGGCACCAAATTAATTCTAGCTAAGCAGTAAGCATAGTTGTTTATCTCAGGGAAATCTGTCTTGCACAGATCTCAGATTCTCAGCATAGATCAAACAAATCCTACTGCTTTATCTTCTTACAAGTTTGTGCAATCTCGACCTTGGACAAGATCCTGCAGAAGCGTTCTTAACACCAAACTAGTAAAACGATGAGGTAGAAATTTTAGGAGAAGCAGAGTAATGACCTGAATATCAAACATTGCGTTTGGGCTGACTGAATACCCTGTTCTTTCTTTTAGGAATGAAGCAACCTTGATTTTATTGCTTCTTTTTGCTGCCCTCCACTCTGTTTGAAGATCTTCGTTATCTGCAAACTACACATGACACAGTTTGTAGCTAAGTCACAACATCAGAAGATACATCTGTGTGATCATGTCAAACAAAAGTTACAAAAGTATTATATAGAAATTTCATAAAAAAACAGAACATGTCAAAAAGCGCATTAGCGTAGCCAGAGCCATTAAAAATTCAAATTTGGGATGCTGCCGTAAAAATAGTTTATTCAATAAAAAAAATAAGTATTAAGATCGGGATTACAAAACAGAATCAGCATTAAAATCAGAACTACAAAACCAAATTTCACAACAACAAAAAGCCTGTTTTGGGGTGCGCATCCCAGCTACACTAATACGTCTAAGTGAATAAAATGTAGCTTATGTTTCATACCTTGCGTAGTTCTGCCAGCTTTTCGGTGTTTAAGACCCAGTCATCAGTACCTATCCATTTAGTAATGATATTACTAAGACCAGGATTACAAAACCGGATCCATCTTCTGGGAGTCACACCATTAGTTTTATTTTGAAATTTCTCCGGCCAAAGCTGTGAGAGGATAAAGTAGTTCATGAAACGATTTGACAAAAAAGGATTTGCAGTGTTTTGTTAATGCTGAAATAAAACCATTCTACTTTTAGGAATGATAGTGGACCTACAAATAGACCATACCTTGTAAAAGTCATTGAAAACATCTTCCTTCACTATTTCACTGTGGATCTCAGCAACTCCATTCACAGCATGACCACCAACAACACAAAGATTAGCCATGCGGACCATCTTAGGAGCTGGTGCAGGGATCACATGTTTCTCCAGTTCTGTCTCTTTTTCTGCACTTTCATCCTTTTCACCACCAGGAACCACTTCATCACTATTTTCAACTTCTACATTAGGATCAACAACTGCGGTTTCTTTTGGTTTGGTAAATAAGTCTACAACAGAGCTGGGAAGATCAAAGTTCTCCAAAATTCTCATAGCACTCAGCTTTTTTTCTAACATGTCGGGATCTGATGTGCCATATTCTGATATTATATCATTTATCAGCTGAATAAAAGGATATGTGTGAGGAATTATAAGCTATGAGAGAAAAGTATAGAAACAGATAGTTCAGCTGAGCTATGCATGATTTCAATCACCTGCTCATCTATCATCTCTATAATCTCTATGTGTCTGGGAAGCAGCTTCTCCATTAGCTCATAACTCCATTTCTCCAGTGCCTCGGGTAGAACAGTATGGTTTGTGTAAGCCACTGTCCTGGAAAGTATATCGCATCCAAGGTGTTATTCAAAAAGCAGGTGTGAAAGAAGAAGCCAAGAAGATATAAAAACAGCCACATGGATTGAGAATGAAAACTATTATGTTTACATCTCAAGATATTCCACTCCATCATAAAATACTCAACTGGAATCATCTTGGCTGTACATAATTAGAGACGCAAAGAAGGTGTATATGGGAAAAGAACCTTTTAGTGATACTCCAAGCTTCCTTCCAACTCAAGCCCTTTACATCTACCAATATTCTAATCAGTTCTGGGATACATAGAGTTGGGTGGGTGTCATTCATCTGGACAGCAACTTTTTCAGGAAACTCTTCCCACTTTATGTGTCCACCAGATCTCCTCTCAAATCGGGCAATAATGTCTTGTAGAGAAGCCGAGCACAAGGTGTATTGCTGCTTCAGTCGTAGAGTTTTTCCTTCCAATGAATCATCTCCAGGGTAGAGTATGTAACATATCTGAGTCAAAGGAAACACAGTGCACATAGCTCTGGTTAAAATCATGTATTGCATAATATATATACAATTGTGATAAAAGGTTTGAACATGGTAACAAACTACTACCCCAGCCTAAAAAAGAGTCCAACTTAAAATCAAGAAATAATGGCAAAACTAGTACCTATGAGTTTCTACGGGACAAAAATAAGACGTGTTCTATATATGGTCAATAAAGAGACTCAATATTAACGGGTGACTAATTTACCCTGCGCTGCTTTGCTTCTTGTCTGCTATCTGCTTAATTAGCTCTTCCTGCGGTGCTTCGATTCCTCCATGTCTTCTGCGCACAACATCACCTACGTTCCAACCTCCGCCTGCACAGAAAATCCCCCCGCCCCTGAATTTCTGCGCAGCGGCGGCGGCCATAAAACTTCTGTCCTCCGCCGACACAGGCTCCGTCGAGCCCGTTGGTGTCTCACTTTCTTCTTCTTTTCTGTTCATGCGCTGCCTCATAGCTCCAGGCTAGGATTAACGTCGATGTGAGGTTTCAGATCCATGTGGTTCGGTTTATTTGGGCGGCGGTGCAGTTGGTTTGGGCGGCGGCGCAGTTGATTTGGGCGGCGGCGCGGTTGATTTGGCGGTGGTCAGTTGATTTGGACGGCCACTTTGGCTGTAGGGTTGGGTGCAGGGATTTGGGGTGCAGCGATTTGGGATGCAGCGAGGGGGCTGGGGAGGTGGCAGTTACTGTCAGGGCAGCGGCGACTGGAGGGCTGAACCACTAGACAGGGGGATGGGGAAGGGGAAGCGGGGGGTTGGGGTTAGGGAGGAGTGTTGCGGACTGGGGGGGGTAGGTTGTGGGCTGGGGGAGGGTCAGCGTGGGGCAACAATGTCATGGTAGTCGGCGACGGTGGCAGCCTGCGGTGGTGGCTACCCGTGATCATTTTCGGATTGGATAACTGTAAATGATCAGTCTGGTAACTGTAACTGGTTGATCTGGTAACTATAACTGCTCGGTATGTGTAACACCGTAACAATAACTTGCCAATTTGAGTAACTGTAACTGGTCGGTACGAGTAACTGTAACTGGTCGGTTCGAGTAATTGTAACTGGTTGATTCGAGTGACCGTAAGTATGTAACTGATCGGTCCGAGTAACTGTAACTGGTCGGTCCAAGTAACTGTAACTGTAACTGGTCGTTTGAGTAACTGTAATTGGTCGGTACTCGGTATGAATAACTGTAACTCGTCTATTTGAGTAACTGTAACTGGTTGATTCGAGTAACTGTAACTGGCTGATTCGAGTAACTGTAACTGGTCGGTCCGATTAACAGTAACAAATAGATTTAGGTAATTGTAACTGATCGGATCGGACAAATTTAATTGATTTGGTTGGTCAATTGTAATTAATGAAGTCAGATAACTATAACTAGTAACCGTAACTATTTATATTGGAAAATATAACTAGGTAACCGTAAATTGGGAACATCTCTTTTATAAGTTTATTGGCCTCCCTGCTAGCATCTTTAGAAGTGGGAAATTAATTACTGTACTACGTATTAATGTATATTGGAGCCGTTGGTGGAATGATACGTACGTATCTAGTTTGATGTGATGCGTATTGACTATTTGACTAGCGAGCAACGCTGCAGGGGTATACTTGACATTCTCATCTCATTTATTTAAATGATGCCACCGGGTGGTCTCTTTTCTGGGAAGTATTAGGAGAAGTTTTATATTTGTCCAAATCATTTTAATTAGTAATATTCATGACCTAACCCCTAAAATCAACTTAAATTTCTGTTTAGACAAGCGGAAAGCTGTTTTAGCCAATTAGTGAAAACAGTCATAGAAATAAGTTTAAGAAACATAAGTGCTTATTCATGGCTTGTAAAACCTTGCAACTTGATTGACTTGTCAAGAAAAAGTTGTACCTTAATGAAGCAGGACTTTTTTTTTGACACAGCGGCCATGAGGTATATGAAACAGGTTCACAATTATGTATGAACAAAAGACAAAGCAACTTCGACATTTCTTTATCCTTTATATCATTGGGTGACGACAAAGTCAAATAGCAAGACCATGTCATTTATTCATGGTTAGAAAAAGGCATTTTAGAGTTGCGCCACAGTGTGAGGTGGTAAAAAACCTTGAGGCTTTAAGACATACACTTCATATGATTGAGGCATATTGTGAGATTTCAGACTCTTTTTTTAAGGTTTGTCATGGCTTATTAATTTTCTTATATAGAAGTATATGGGATCTATTTTTTCAATAAATTAGTCACTTGTCCCATTAAAATTTGATAGGGGAAGGCTTTCCCCTTATACACCCTTGTGGTGGGACCCTTCCACGGACCCTCTCCTTGTGGGGATGCCTTTGTGCACCGGGCTGCCCATTTCATCACCTATCTCATTAAAATCCCTAAACTTAATTTTCCAAAACTAACAATCATCTTCGCATGGCTATACCTATAAAGTCAACTTATTTTACATAGCCGACCAGCTACTCTGCCCTCCTCCATAAGTACATATGTTTCTAGCAGAGCAGCAGAGGCGCAGAGCTACTATTGGTCTACCGCTACTCTCCTCTTCTCTTGTTTCTAGTGAGGTTCAAAGTTCAAACAACTCCAGCTACTTTTTTCCTTCTGATTTGAACCATAAAAACAAGTACTACCTCCGTCCCACAATGGTTGTCCACTTTCAATTTGGCACGATTATTAATAAAGTGGTTGAAAAGTAAAAGTTGTGGTTGAGAACTTGAGATTTGAGTAGAATAAAGTGAATTGATAAGAACCATGTATTTCATGCCAAAAAAGGAAACAAGACATTCATTTTGGGACAATCCAAAAAGGAAAGTAGGACAACCAAAATGGGACGGATGGAGTAATAAGGAAGCTTTTTTTTATATTCAAATTGCTCCAGAATATAAATATCTCCGACCATTCCTTCCTGTGTTTCTCATCTACACACCTTTTTCTGGTTTTATTGGAACACCAAGTATTTGAAGTTTTATCTGAAGGGTTAAATTTATGATAGTGGTCTATGGCACTTAATTATGAGCAGGCCCCTCATTGATTTTTTTTCTGAAATCCAACATATACGCATAATACAAAAGATGATCACAAGTGTGAAATATAGAAAGCCTACCTTTTCAGCATTTGTTTGGGCCTCACATGCTTTGATGTGGTGTCCTGAATTAAAAGAATATAGGTCAAAATCCTCTGATGGAGCCTTAGTTGACCATAGCCGAAGGTTAATTGTGGTTTTAGTCTTATATCCTGGTATTGGAACGTCATAAGCAACTGCTTGAATGTCATCCCCACCAATCCAATGTTTCTTTCCATCTGACCCTGAGATCACTTTACCGGAGAACTTTACAGGGTATGAAACATCATTCCTTACTATCTCCCAAGGATTACCTAGCTGTGAGCATGAACTCAAGTCACACATACTATATATAATAACATATTTAGTAACAAAGAGTCTGTTTAAGTTGAGGGGTTCCAGAGGGGTTTAGACTTTGGAGGGGGTGGCTGTAGTGGGAAACTGGGAATAGTCTATGTCTACTTAAATAAAATAAAATAAAAAAATGAATAAAAAATGATTGAAATGTTGTCCAATCATATATTATGTAAATCTTTCAATTACTACAAAACCTCAAATATGTACCAAGATACAGTCTACACCCTCCGACCTCTCCAAAACCCTCCATCTAAACAGACCCTAAGTGTTACATTGATTTCAAACACAACTTGGCAAGAAAAGGCCAGAATGATTTGATCAGTATGATACACATTTACACATGCACACACAAACAAGAAATGAAGCTTCAGAAAGCATACTTCAAGCCAATCTTCGGCAACCTCCTCCTGACCATCTTTAGTAATGCGCTGCTTAAATAATCCATACTTGTACCTGAGCCCATAACCCCACGCTGGATAATTCAATGTTGCCAGAGAATCAAGGAAACATGAAGCAAGCCGACCCAGACCACCATTTCCAAGAGCAGCATCTGGCTCCTGTTATGAATTTGTTCACGGTTTAGACTTCAGGGGAATGAATATAAACCTTAAGGGCACATTGTTATGTACCTTCTGAATGCTAAACCAGTCAATCACTAATAGTGAATGGCCATATATAGCATACTTGTACTCTTTTACAACCAACATATTTTAGAATCAAAATGGATAAAACCCAATTTAAATTTTAAATTACTAGTAAGCCTGACCTTAGAAGCTACATTTTCTAGATTGTGGCCAAGATCGTTCAGTGCTTCTGCATATGCACCTGAAAGCTCTAGATTACCAATTGCGTTTAACAGTGCTCTACCCTGCAAGTATATAAAACCCCATTGTTAGTTGTTACTCATCTTCATTGCTTTCTTACTGCATGGAATGTTTATCAATATTACATGAATGAGGAAGACTCGTGAGTCTTGATATACCTGTAGAAACTCCATAGAGAGATAGTATGCCTGCTTTGCATTCAACTTCTCATAGTATTCATATGTTTCGTTCCAATTAATGATTAGTGAATCACGAACACTTTGTGCAGTTGCAAAGAATGCCTTTGGGAGCTCAAACTTCTCAGGAGAAAATACAGGTGTGAATTCTGCATGGTATTTGATGTTTGAAGCAATAGACGCAGCATCCAGAGAGGTGCCTAAAAATTCATTTTGGGGGAAAAAGTTTGATTAATATTATGAGTAGTCGATATGTTTCTAAAGTTCAATTTCATTTTGAACTCAACTTTCATAAACAGCTCTTATGTTTACAATTTCATAACTTGAGATATTTCAAAAAAAATTGAGCCGTAGCAGCCTGCCAAGCTCAGAGCTCAATATACGAATAGGTGTCTGGCATTCTGATCAACAAACTCTACACAACATTTATTAACTTAGTGGAATGGAACACCAAATACAACTAAACAACCTAACATACAAACTTCATCATTTATCTAAGTGATGTTTATGCAATTATACATTTCATACATTAAAAAATAAAAGTCCATCTATCCATTCAACATTATAATAACAATTGAAGTCCAATATTTGAAATTTGAAATTGTATACACAGCCCATACGACAATTACCCAAATTTCGTACATTATTCCAGTTCTATTTTTAATTGTGCGCTATTTTAAATTGGGATATCCAAGTTATTACGGGTTGAGCCCAATTGATTCGCCATTCATGTTCACTACAATTGCCATTTGCCACCAAACAGTAGCTACAGAAGTACAAGTCTAGCACAACATGTTGTATGCTAGTATATCAAATGAAACACCGAAAGGATTTTAGCAACGTGTAAATAGAAAGCTATAAGAACTAGCAACCAACAAGGCAGGCCTGAAAAAAAAACTCTGGCTCTGAGTCTCTGACAATAGTGGCCAAGTTAACACTGGAACTTGTTTTAACCCGAGCTTGTACTATGCAGACCATATCGTTAATGAAGTAGAAGGTAAAGAAAATGGTTTTAAGATATTCGACTAAATATAGCAGCAAATTAGCAATAGCATGCAGATCGAACGATAGAGATGATAGATCAGAAGCCCTAACTGTTTTCAGTGACCGGATTCTGAACCATTTGCTTCGGCTCATTCAACACGCTCTTGACGAGGAAAGACTGTTTCTTTCCCCGGAAGTCAGCTCTTTTGGTCAGGAACCGCAAGTTCGAACTCCGGGCATTGGAATTGAGATCGAAGAGTCTCGAGCTGGGAGTAGAATGCAGGAAAGTTTCGGCATAGGTTCGAGTAACGGAGTATTGCGAAGTCGCCATGGCTGTCCCTTGCTGGCCGAGATTCCAAATGAGCTATATTTGGGAAGAGTGTGGGGAGTGTGATCATAGAAGAGTGAGGAGATATCATGACTGATAAATGGGGTGATGGAGCTGTTTGTCCCTTTGCTGGCATGTCACGTTCAAAAATATCCAAGGTGGCCTAGCTCACGCGTCCAAAATTTATAAATAGAAGGGAAAAGGGGCAGATAAGCCCTTGTTTAAAAGGTTATGGCTATGTTTGGTACAATTAGCTGAAAAGATCTTTTTGTGAGTTTTTTAGTAACTGTTAGCTTTTAATGACTGAAAAGATCTTAAAAGTAAAAGGTGGTAGCTGTTTGGTAAAAAGCTGACTGTTTGATTTAGTTCTGTTTGGCATACAAGCTGTTAGGATTTATTAAAGCTAAAAGTCACAGACTTTTCTCAGATGCTACTACCTGTAGCATCTCAAAAAAGAGCTTTTATTTTTTGAAAAGCTCTTAAAAATTGGCATGCCAAACAAATAACTAACAACTTTTAGAGACTTTTTAAATAGTACAAAAGCCAAAAACTATAGACTTATGTCAGCCAAACATAGGGCGGTGCACGGGTCGGGTTCGGGCGGGTCGGGTTTGCGAACCCTAAACCCGTTCGGGTTTTTTAATGTAAATACTAGGCCCGACCCTTTGATATTTCGGATCGGGTATTTCGGATATTTTTAAGTCGGATATTATCGGATATCGGGTCGGGTTTCGGATATTTCGGTTATATTAAAAAAATATATAATTGAATAATTAAAGTGTTTAAATTCCACTTTGACAAAAATTGTACACACTAGTGCACTAAACATCCAAATTACACAAATAATTTAACACAATTTGCACAAATAATTACACAAATAATTGAACACAAGTATTAATTTAACATATTCAAAGTACACACTACATAATTTAATATACTTCGGATATTTCGGTTATATTAAAACACATTATAATTGGATAATTAAAGTGTTGGAATGCAACTTTGACAAAAATTATACACACTAGTGTACTACACATTCAATTTACACAAATAATTTAATACAAATTGCACAATATAATTAGATTAATTACACAAATAATTGGATGCAAGTATTAATTTACCATATTCAAAGTACACACTAACATATATTTCGGATATTCGGGTGGGTCGGGTTGGGATTTTACAAACCCTACCCGCCACCCGATCTAGGCCCAATATTAATCGGATTTTCGGTTTCGGGTTTTTCGGGTCGGATAGCCATTCCGGTTCGGATAATATCCGAAAAAAATATCGGGTTTTTCGGGTTGGATCGGGTTTTGCTCAGCCCTAGCCAAACATAGCCTATGTCCGGTCATCATCATTTGGGGCGGTTTCTGGTAGAACTTTTGATGAAATTTTTTGAGCATCTTATTCATTCAGTTTAGTTTACGCATACCAAATTTCAGCTAAAACTTCCATCGGGAAGGCATTCGAATGAATTCTTGAAAATAACTGTGCAGTTAAAAACGCAGTTATCGTCAAGAATTCATTTGAATGTCTTCCCGATTGAATTGTTAGATAAAATTTGGTATGAGTAAACTAGATTCAATGAATAAGATGCTCAAAAACGTTCATCAAAAAATTCCACCGGGAACCGTCCGAAATTGCGACGGCCGGATAGAACCTCCTAAATAAGGGTTTATTTGACTTTTTTTGTTAGTATGTGGACTTATTTGCCCCTTTTCCCTAAATAAAAATTATACTCCGTATTAAAATGCTTTTTAGCATAGCCTATTGGACCCCCTAATTATTCTTTACTCCTTATTATATAAAAAATACAATTATTATAGGCACATCATACTCAGTCATTCATTATTGGTGCACTCATTAGTTTTGTTTTTCCATCATGGCACATCATTAGTTTTTTTTATATTAAGATGTTTCTCTACTTCTATATTTGGAGGGAAAACATCCTGTCCATCCGGATGGGCAGGAGCCTCCGTCCGGTCGAGGCCATCAGAGGCCCTTCCCGGTGGAATTTTTTTATGAAATTTTTTCAGCATGTTCTTCATGAAGTCTAGTTTACTCATACCAAATTTCTGCTAAAAATTCAACCAGGAAGGCACTCAAATGATTTTTGGAAGATGACTGTGTTTTATATGTATATAAAGTGCACAGTTAACTTCAAAAAATCATTTGACTGTCTTACCGATTGAATTTTTAGCTGAAATTTGGTATGGATAAACTAGACTTCATGAAGAACATGCTCAAAAAAATTCATCAAAAAATTCCACCGGGAAGAGCCCAAACAGTAAAGTTCGGGCAGAGCCTCTCATCCCTTCGGATGGACCTGAGCATTCCTCTATATTTGGATACAATTATATTAAGGGTTGGTTTGCAACCGCTTTTAAAAAAGCACTTATCAGCTTTTGGCTTTAAAAAGCACTTATTTTCCTAAACACTACAACTTTTATTTTTCTCGGCTTCCGCGTCAAAAGTGCTTTTACTTTTTCTATTACACAAAAAGCACTTATTTTACCAAACACTAGCCACTTTTACTTTTCAAAATCACTTTTTTATCAAACACTATCAACTTTTATTTAATCACTTCTCTCCATTTCATTAAAAAAAAGTACTTTTTAAAAAGCAGAAGTTGTTACAAACAGACCCTAAGGGAGTGTTTTCCTTTGCTTAAAAAAGTGCTTTAGAGCTTTTAGATTAAAAAATGTCAAAAAAGGTGTTTGATAATCCTAACTTTTGCTTAAAAAAAGTGCTTTAAAGTCAAAATCTAAAAGCTAGAGCATACCAATTTCTAATAGCTTCTAGGTAAACTTGTAATTACCTCCAACTTTATGACTAATAATAATGGCAAAAAAATCCCCTAACCCCCAACTTTATTCGTATACCCTCCCTATGTCCAAAAGTTTAAAGGGTGATTTTGTACTTTTGAAAAAATTATTCCATCATAATCACTTTTTTATCAAACACTTCAACTTCACATTTTAATTAAAATTACTTCTATTCCCAAACACTGCCAACTTTTACTACAAATCACTTTTCCAATAATCTATTAAAAAATCACTTTTAAACTGACTCATTAAACCAAGTAGAAAAGTATAAACGTTTATCTCTAGTAATCTTTTGAACTAATATATTAGATCTAAAGATCACGTTATTGTATCTTTTTTATTCAAAAGTTAGTAACCAGAGTTCAATTTGACTTGCAGTCATATGAGAATGAGTCAAATTAGTAAATAAAAAATTTAATATAAACATATAATCAGTGCCTGTTTTTTGAATGAAACTAGTTTAAAGTATCATAACAGAACGTAAGCAGGTTATAATAATGACAAGTCTTATGTTTGCCGTATGTCCTAGAACTAGACATAGAAGTAATTACCTCCTTGGAAGCAATATACTTTGTTGATCCCGCTTCGGACTTAACTGAGCCAATGACTTGCATACCAGACTCCTCATCACATGTTCTAGGTTCTAGAGCTTTTTGTTGAAGAAAATGAGCCATGAACTACATGAGTCTTATACCTTCTTCCCGTAAAAACATGACACAATCAAAACAGAGTAAAGATCCAAATAAAAGCGAAACATGAAGAAAAAAAAAAAGATTCTTGAACCCTAGCACCTTATTCATTTCCTGGCGGTGGTTCAGGAGGAGGTCGAACCATCACTATGATTGTTGACGTGGAATGGATCGAAGCATAAACCAATCGGAGTAGATTCCTCTTGCCTTGTCTCCCATATGTCGTGCCTACTACCTAGCCATCTCCATCGGAGCATCTACCCTTCTCGATCCGCCCTTCTCTAACGTCAGGTGACCCGGTTAGATTTTCCACCCGTCTAGCAGTTACTTGCACTGAATCTGCCTCGTCACCATATTGTTGTGATCCTTCTGCAATTGCCGAGCTCGCGATCCTGGTCATCCAGAGGCCCTGCATTTGATCGAAAGAAAAGTCGCATACAATCGGCGGAAGAAGAAACCCTAAACTAGGGAAATGTCGCCGTCGTATAAGAAGAAAATTTTCAAAGCATGTCCATTCCAGTGATTGTTGTTATATGAAAAACATTGTGCCCCCGCCTATCCGGATAAAAATATAACTATTAGATTAAGTAATAATTCCTTCAAAGAGCATATAGAAATTGTGATAAGGCATTTAAATGATTATATATGAAGTCAGGATAGAACAATTTCATGTCGTGGGCATATTGTTGACACGGTCATTCTTTGAAAAGTGACATTGGTGAAAATAATAGAAGGTTATCAATTTATTTTTATTGTCTAGTACTCTAGTTGATGGAAAAAGTATTTTGGTTGACATGTTGGAGTCACATTTCTTGCAATAAAAAGATCAAGATTTTCCCAAGGGTGTGATCTTGCTTAAGAACACCAAAGATAAATTTCAAGATTTGAAAGAAAAATAGATTATAACTTTTTCGAAAGATGTCATTTTTTTTTGTTGATTAAGATCGAAAATGGCATTGTTAACATTGGAGATATGAATCATCATTCTATATGCATTCGTTATCCAATAGTAAATTATCACCACTTTAGAACTATTATATTTTATGAGGTACAACATCATAATCATAATCATGAATATTGTACTTCATTTTGTAATTCGGTTGCATGCAGTGGCGAATCTTGCAGTAAAATGTGGGGTGTTCAAAATTAATTTAACATTAAAATGTTACTCAATAGTATTATTTGATCCATCAATTGAAGAAATGTAATTTTTTTGAACTACAAAAAACTAGCAAATAGGGTTCAAAGTAAGAAATATTGTATAAAAAATACAATACATGAATTATTATATCAATTTTATATGTATTTTTACACCTCATTTTCAAGTTTTTGGGTGTTCAGCTGAACACCCTTGAACCAAACGGGTCCGCCACTGGTTGCATGGTGTCTAATGTTGGACACGATTTTAGTTTTGATTTGAAAGTATGACTGTTTGTAGTACAAAATGACTTGAATAGGGGTGCAAGTATGATCGATTCAATTCTAATTCATGTTATGTTTTTCTTTCAAAAAAAAAACTTACAGAGTAATATTTTTGTTTAAAATTGTTTTAATGAGTTGAAAAGTAGACATATAATATATC